TTTAAGTGACATACTGTAGTATGAAGTCTTCACTTTTTCTTAATTCAAAGCATTGATATTATCTGAATACTGCAATGCTAATAATAGCCATGCTGTCTTGAGAAGTAAAGTTTATTCCAAATGTTGCAGTAATCATAACATATCTTGTTTCCTGTGTAGGTCCATGGCCAGTATCTCTGTCCTGTTTGGACAAGTGAGTATAAAGTTTACAAGAGGCAGCGGGGCAATTTTATAAGACAATGTACACTGCATTTCTTGAGTGTGTTTGAGCACCAGATTACTGAGCTTGCAGTAAAATCAATGAATGAATTCAACTGTGCAGTTGAAGAGGAAATGTATAAACAAGATATTTATTTAGAAATGTCCTTTCTCTTCTTTATGTTTATTTGCTTATAATTGCTACTAAATTTGGTACTGGTGTTGTTTGTACTTGTATTGCACAGAGGATATGTTTAATAGGACTGTTACCTACAGTATGTGTGAGTGTGGTTGTCAGTTTGCTTCTGGATTGTGGTGTGGCTATAATTAAGCAATAAGGCATGAGAGGCCGTGCTATATCATGAGTATAGTCACAGTTAAAAGGCGTTGTTAGGCCCGACGCGAAGTGGAGGATGGGCAACCCTTTTAACTCTTTCATTCATGATAGAGCACAGGCCTCAAGTGCCTTATTGCTTTTATAAAACGGTTCTCAGATATGAGCCTTAATGCATGTGTGTTCCACATCAGTTCTACAATCAGTGTCATCATGCCAGTTTAGGATACTTTTAACTTGTACCATACTGGAGAACATGCTTCTTTATCAAAATTTTACACAATTAATCACACTGTGGTGCACATACCAACCAGCTGTTAACCGCTTGCACCACAGGGGAGCAAAAGGACGTGTAGGCAGATTGCTGTAACCTGCCAATATTTGAGACACTCTTTTAACACATCATAAGCAACACGTTCCTGTAGGGAAGGTTTAGCATCAGTTGGAGGAGAGGTGTGTCCCTCACAGATGGCATCATATGCATGTGTTCCTTTGAGATCGTTGACCAACTAATCCTACCATACCCTTGGCAGAGCTCAGCCAGTTATGGGCCAGCTCTTGGGGACTTCCAGACACAGTTGGCTAGTGACATGATTGATGCTCGAACCTGCGATTGTAGAGCTTATCTTTTAATTGTGAACACCTTTGCTGGTTGTGCCACTCAGGAGGCCCTGAAAAATTCCAGGAAGAATCTTCCTGCCTTTTGAAAGTTAACCCATATAAGCAACCCTTTTTTCCTTATGAAATACAGTGACATTTATATTTTATATTTTGTATGGTTTTATATGGTGACTTAAATATACCTGGTCATGTATGGGCTGGCCATAAAATGTTTTAGAAGTTAGAGCTTAGAAATTGGTTCATGTCTAGCCAAAGAAGGAAATAAAATAATGGCTCCATTTTGTTTCTTTATAATGCAGCTCCCTCTGTTTTTCAGGTTGTACGAGGTATGAGTGCTGGATCCAGGGTGTTTGAGTACCTCACACTGGAGCCCACCATTCCACTGAATGGGGGAGCCAGAATCCCCTACCACTCTTTGGTTGGTAGGATCCACTTCAGAGACATTTCCTTCAGGTGAGGCATCAAATGCTGCTCAGAAAAGAACTTCTGCCACGTACAGTACAGTATGTGTACCCTTAAAACAACAAAAAAAAGTATCACCTCAAAATGGAAAAAAATAAAGCAGAGGGACAGGCTTTGTTGTAGTTTATTCCCTGAAACCACATTGCCCAGCGATTAGCAATTTAAATGTACACACTATAGTCCTTGGCTCTGGGTTTATACTGATGCAAATTTTGGCAGATTTGAAAACTGATTTTTTTAATCTCCCTGGTGGTTACTGAAACTCATGCTGATCCACTCATAGAAATAAAAGAATGATCTGGGATCACCCAGGCTGGCAGAGGGATGGAAGGACTAATAGTTTTCTGATGTAATTTCTTGTTTAGCTATCCAACCAGACCAGGTCATCAGGTCCTGAAGAACTTCAGCCTGGTCCTTCCCCCATGTAAGACGGTGGCCATTGTAGGAGAATCTGGAGGAGGTAACAGTATTTGAGGTGTTTTTTTGTTATTTTCTGTTTGATTTTATTAACGCATCAGCTCGGCACTATAATATGCATGAAAGCAGACGGGATGGAATACAGTAATTCTGAATAAACAATAGTTATTTGAGAAAAAAAAGTCAATTAAATACATAGATTCAATCATTCTATTATTAATGAAACTTGTTGTTGAGATTTTGACTTGCACTCCTGATTGTTGTGCTTAATTATGGTGTATTCAGGATGAAAAATGCAAAGATTAAAAGCTGTTATTTAGACTTCTTTTGTTTTCACTAGAAAATATTCTGCAGCAAAGTGATGTATAAATGAACTTGTATGCACTCTTGCCCAGGTAAATCCACAGTGGCAGCACTGTTGGAGCGATTTTATGACCCCAGCAGTGGTGTTGTCACACTGGATGGGCTGGACATCAGAACCCTTGATCCATCCTGGCTTAGAGGACAGGCTATTGGATTTATCAACCAGGTAACACATCACAAGAAATATTCCAGAAAGAAAGTAATGAATTAAATTATACACACAACATATTGAGCAATATCAGCTTTTCAGATAGTACTAGGGCTACTGATTTCCTTAGACTTAAAGTATTCTTTAGAGAAAAAGGTCTGCATACTTTCAGTTGTATTTGAAATGCATGTAGGAAGCCGCCCATGTGGCTAGGTCCTCTGTGTTTGTGTTTATGTTCATTATTATAGTGCACTACAGATATTTATAATGTTTTAAGTAATTTACAAGCCAGAGAAGAAGAGAAACAAAAAAGGGTAACCTGTACTGTCCAATTATATCCTAAAATATATTGCAGAGATATACTGTAAGCAAATGATATTAAATATTCCTGAAGGTTGTCTATGACCTATTTCAAATGTTCCCTTAATTTCTTAAACATTTCCAGGAGCCTGTTCTGTTTGGAACGTCTGTCATGGAGAACATCCGCTTTGGCAAACCTGAAGCCACTGATGCTGAAGTCATTTCTGCCGCCAAGCAAGCAAACGCCCACAGCTTTATCTCCAGTTTCCCTGATGGCTACGACACAGTGGTTGGTAAGCAAAGTTAACCAAATTTAAAACGTATTGTGATTTTTAGTTTTGACCTTTTACAAAGGGTGTATTTTTGTCTTCAGTCTAAATTAAAACTGTTATCCCTCCACACAAACACACAATGCTTCATGTTCTTTGTTCACTTTTAAGTTGGATTCATATCTAAATCTTTCATGAAGAATATCATTTTAAAATAATGCAGTGAAACTAATACAGTTTGGGGTTTCTTTAAGCTGAAATCTTATACTTATATCTTATAAATCAAATATGTGATGTTTTCGGTGGCAATATTGTTTCTGCCCTACTGCACTGTGGCCTTGGGTTCAATTCTGGGCCTAGGCCTGTGTTCATGTTGGTTTCCTCCATTTACTCTAGTTTCCTCCCACAGTCCAAAAACATACTGGTAAATTAATTGCCATCTGGGAATTGCCCCTAAGCATAGGGGTCTGCGTCTGTCTGTGTGTCTACCTTGTGATGGACTGGAATCCTGTCCAGGATATACCCTGCTTTGCACCTGTTGCTTGCTGGGATAGGCTCCAACTCAGATCCCCCACTACCCTGAATTGTTAGAAAATGGGTGAATGGATGAATCATCATAAGGGAATTAAACTAACAGTATGTTTTTAGACTAGTGGGAGGAAAGAAGAGCACCCAGAAGAAACTCACGCAAACCTGGGGAGAACATACGAACTCCACACAGATAGCACCCCAGCTGCCGAACTGAACCCAGGGCAAATGCATTGCGGAGCTGCAATGTTAACCACTGTGCCATTATGCCACCCGTGTTTATGATGATGATAATGATAAATATGGATTCCAGGTGAGCGTGGAGTGACATTATCAGGGGGACAGAAACAGCGCATTGCGATAGCCCGAGCCCTCATTAAGAACCCCAGCATACTGATCCTGGATGAGGCCACCAGTGCACTGGACGCAGAGTCGGAGCGGGTGGTGCAGGAGGCGCTCGATCGGGTCACCTCTGGCCGCACGGTGCTCATCATTGCTCACCGCCTCAGTACCATCCAGGGAGCCGATCTCATCTGTGTGTTGAGCAACGGGAGCGTCACGGAGGTAAGAGGGGCAGAAAGTTTCTCAGTAGAGGTTAACAAAGAATAAAACTGAATTGCACTGTTCTTTTTAGCTGTAGACCTGGGGGATCAGTGAAGACTGTGTAATTCGGGATACAGGAGATACCGTATTGAAAAAATGAGTACTTGTTCCCAAAAAACTGTGTTCATGGACAAGATAACATATCTTAACTAAAGGATTTGTTAAACATCAGGGTTTTTACAGAATAGAAAGACAAAACTAATTACTAATTTCAGGGACATGATTAATTTGTGATTCTAATATCAAATATTGTCTTAAATCTGACAAGCTCATACTTCTAGAACTGAGAGGATCTGTAATATTCTCTAAAAACTGAAATAAATGTTCTCTTAAAACAAGATTGTACTGATAGGCGTAAATCCAAGAATGGCTGTTGGATTCATTTAATTAATTAGAAGAGAATTAGTTTAAACCTTAACTGCATTAATAACCACTTTCAGTCCAACTTTAGACTGAACATTGTGTGGTTTGCTTAATGTCTTCATCTTGCAACACTGAAAAAGAGATGTTGTTCTTTTTTTGTCTTTCCTAAGGCTGGTACACATTCTGAACTTCTGAAGAAAGGTGGACTGTACGCAGATCTGACTCAAAGACAGAGGACAGAGGGAAAGAAATGAATCTAAAGTAGCATAGTCTACAGAAGATTTTAATCAACAGTTGATCTTTGTCTTTGCCTTCTAAATCAATTTCTTTTCAGATCGATTTCACTTACTGACAGTTCATATCCTACAATCTTGTAAGAAATAATTGACCATAATGGGAAAAATCAGAGCAGTAAAATGTCTACCTGCTTTGAGAATGTTTGTCCAAAAATGCATTTTTCTTTTGGTTTTGAAATATCATTGGAAATGTTTGAAGATCTAGTTTAATATAATCATGAAGTGAAAAAGTTTGTACAATACTGATTATAATTTTTGAACTATAAAAGAAGGTATATCCCTTAAAAGCAGACAGCGATGAAAACACTACAGGAGTTTGTCAGCAGTAATTTATGAAAACCATTGAACAGGAAGAATTATTGCTTGAGTTTTGCTTTATTTTTTTGGATAATTAAACTTGACAACTTTTTCAACCCTAAGAAGTTAGGTGTTGAGTAATTTTGGAAAAGTATAAAATGATTTCTCTGTTTCCTCTTTGACTTTGTATTACATTTACAGGACCATCGTGTTTAAAATACAGTAATGATATCTTGAAGGACGGGAAAGTATTCTACCTTAAGGAGTTAGAATTAGCATCTACGTCCACTTAATAGACCAATGACATAGTGTGTGTACAGGACCTTGCAAAAGTATTCAGACCCTTCTTGTGGTGTCCCATTTTGTGAAATAAAAATGGATGTACAGTATACACATTTTTTAAGCTCTAATTTTTTAAAAATCAGTGCTGATACAGCAGATGTTTAGGGTTAAGATAAGCTACTGTAAATGTCAGCAAAAACTAAAACAAATAAATCTTAAACATATTGATTGCCTAAGTATTCAGCCCCATGAATTCAATATTTGGTGGTAGCACCTTTGGCAGCAATTCTTTTGCAATTGCAATTGTTTCAATTATCCTGCTGAAAGATGACCTGTTATCCAATAACTTGTTTAAGTCTTTAGTAGATTAAGGCAGGTTTTCTTCTAAGATTTGCTTGTGTTTTGTTCCATCTATTTTTTTCTTCACTCATCACTACTCATTTTGTTCTATCTAAGCTATTGAGCTGTGCAATTCTTTCAAAGTTGCCATTAACCTCGTGGTAGCATCCCTTGCTCATCTACTCAGTATGAAGATACAACCTGATCTCAGAAGTTCAATGGGTGATACAAGGTGCCTTCCATTTCTTGATGATTGAGAGACTTTGGATGAGACCTTAAACTTAGATCCTGATAATCATTATTGTTGTTGTTGTTGTTGTTATTATTATTATTACATTAATAATAATAGCTCACACTTATATAGCACTTTTCTGGACACTCCACTCAAAGAGCTTTACAGGTAATGGGGTCCCCTCTACACCATCACCAATGTGTAGCCCCACCTGGATGATGTAACAGCAGCCATAGCAGCCACACATCAACTATTAGTGGGGAGGAGAACAGAATGATGAAGCCAGTTCATAGATGGGGATTATTAGGAGGCAATGATTGGTAAAGGCCAAATGGGAAATTTGGCCAGGACACCAGGGTAACACCCCTACTCTTTTCAAGAGACGCCCTGGGATTTTTAATGATCACAGAAAGCCAGGACCTTGGTTTTACATCTTATCCAAAAGACAGTGCCTTTTTACAGTATAGTGTCCCTCTCAATATACTGGGGCATTAGGACCCACACAGACTGCAGAGCAAGCACCCCCTGCTGGACCACTAACACCTCTTCCATCAGCAACCTTAGTTTTTCCAGGAGGTCTCCCATCCAGGGACTGACCGGGCTCACACCTGCTTAGTTTCAATGGGCTGCCAGTTGTGAGTTGCAGGGTAATATAGCTGCTGGCCATTAAACGATCCCGTGGCAATCATGGTAGGATCAGGGTGTTAACTCATGAGCCCCAGCTCAGTTCTACTCTAGGCTTACCCAATACAGCCTACCACAACTCTTGATTCAATTAGTAGAGCTATTTTTCAGTTTTCCTCTTGATATGTTGGGTGGCAGTGCTACTGGAATTTAACAGATGTGGACTTCACACAGGTGGGTGCTGTTGCTCTGGTGGTTAAGGTGGATCCTTTAAAGTGAAAAGGGCTATATAAATGCAGTTTAATAATTATATGTTTTATTTTACTCTGTTGTGTCTATACTATTTTATTCCAAATGTTAGAGTTACAATCAGATGTGTATTTTAATATAGTGCAGTTTTCAAATTTTAATCTGAGAAAAAGCATTCCATTTTCTTCTTCTAAGTATAGGTGGTGTGAATATAGACTTTTGGTAATGCAAGTACATACTTGTATTAGATTATGAGTTTACAGAAGTCTGTTTAGTACCTCAATTAAAATACACGTGCTATAGTACTATATTATTATTAACTATAGTATTATAGTTGTCTAATCTTGATTAAATAAAGACTTGTATAAATAATTTAGTATTGGACAGGCAGCGAAAGTGTTTTAACAGCAGTGTTACATGGTTGGAAGAAGGATTATACTTCTGCTATTGTTGAGTGGAAAAAATGAGTGCGGGGCCAACAGGTATCAAGGACAAAGTTGACTTTAATTTTGCAGAGAATGGCCAATTGATGCATTATCTATCCTTGGTCTCTGAGCTTCCTTACATTGAGCAAAGGTCCTTTCAGCATACGCGCTCGTTATTTACCACACACTCCTTAATTACTGTACCACACAGTTCAAAGGCGCCATCATTGTGACACTTCCACCTCCCTTAAGAAGGAATCCTGAGCCCTTTCTAGGAGAGATTGTTTAGTCCCAGTTAGGAGAACTCAGAAAACAGTTCAAGATGGAAAAATTGAGGAGGACACAGGTTGCAGCCGTGGACCTAGGAGAGGATGTGGACACCAGGGAGTCTCTAGCGAGCAGCAGAGGAAGGCTTCTGTGTTGTCTACTCCTCTCCCCCACCCAAAACTGGACATAGACAAATCAGGGCAAAGGGGAACATGAGAGACCACAATGTTCAGGATGGTTGGAGTTGAAGAGGACGCCAAAGACCATCGAAGGATTACAAAGACGTTCTTCGCTGTAGTGGAAGGAGGCACTCCCAGTCACCGACTTAAGCTGGTTTTGGAGAACAGTGATCCTGGACAGATCCATCTTTTTTGGGTCCATCTTGTTCATATGGTCTATGAGTGTGTGTCCCTTGGATATTCTGAGTCATGGGCTGTGTGAGATGGATAGCTTGATAGGCTGTAATAAATTGGGATATAATGTAGGATTACTTATGTACACTGGGGTCGATGAACTGGTTCTAGGTTGAAAAAGACAGTGTTGTGGGGGATAAGGGTCTTAACACCCATAAAACTTGGAGGAGTCACCAACTGTCAGTGTTACTGAAATGTTTCAAATAACACGAGAAACAAAAGAAACACTAATGTTTCTGAAGTACATCAAAGGGGTTTATTTCAGTACCATCAATTAATTTATCAACTTTGTTAATATTGGAAACCTACAAATGTATTCATTTTATTCCAAGAAAGATCTGTTGCATCAGTATCTGAATATTAGACGAGCATTTGTAAAGTGCAGAAACCATGGTATTTGTTTCGGAGTCTGTTGCAAGTAAAAAGGAGTGATCATCACAGTAGCGGATGGGAAATCATTGCTTCGTTGCTTGTAGAGAACCAGGGTTGTACCAACAAGATGCAGTTTTAACTTCCATTAACTGTTCTATGTGACAATGAAATTCCAAAGAATTTAATAAGATTTAGCAAAAAAAAAAATGTATGTACACGGAAAATGTACTGTATGAACAACACCTTTGCCAGTCCGTCACATTCACTGTCGCTTGTAGTTCAGGGTGGTGACAGATTTTGTAGTCATGCAATTCATTTTTCTGCCAATAGATGTCTCAGTTTGTTGTAGTCTTACATTCAAAATTTATTGCAAAACCTCCCTTGAAATTAATCCTGGGAGAAAACAAAACATACATATATATAATTTGAACAGAAAATGCAGAAATATGAGAAACTTGAGAAGATTGGAGAAGGTAAGAGACAATGCACATTTGTTAGATCAGATATATGTAGTTGTGCGTTTTTATTGTTTTGTGTGCGATGAAACCCTGTTAATTCTTCTTGTAGTCAGTTTATTTAAATCTCCGTACGACTGTGGCCTACGCTGCCATCAGAAGCCCCGGGCCTCGCGTAAAAGCTAATGCGGAGTTTGGGCAAAGCAGGTTGGTTACAGGCAATTCTTTCTGATGGTCATTTTCGTGATTCAAAGGTCGTCGGTTCTTATTTATCGACGGGAATGAATGAAACTATTCTTAGCTTTTTGTTTAAAATTTATAATGACATTTCATCTCACTCTGAATCGGTAAGATAACATTTTTCGTTTGTTTGATCCGCTGTTTTGTGGGCTGTCAATTCAGCTTTAGATTATTTCCATTTAAAATTATCTGTAGAATCTTTTTATATATATAGAAATATAGCTAATCCGCTCCTTTTTAGCATTATATTAATGATTTTTTAAAACCTGTCCTGTGGTAAAAGATGGTAAATTATTAGCGCTTTATTTATTTGTAATTAGCCTGAACCGCATTATAGCAGATGTCTTTATTATCTTAGTTAGTATAAATGTAAAATAATATCCTAGTAGTTCTATTATTCTAAACCCTTTTCCTGAGGCCCAAGCGTAGTTGGACTTAGAGTGTAACTGATGATAACAAAACGCATTTCTAATATAAAAAGATGATTAAATCGGTATAGAAGCAAGCAATGTTGTTTTTCAAACTGTTTTAAATGTTGAGTGCTTTTAATTGCCACTATTTCATCTGCTAAAATCTCGTCTAATGTTTGTTGAACAATATGTATATACTGCATCTATAATCATAATGAATTGTTCTGCTCGTCTAAAGCTATTAAACTAAAAATTCCCACACATGAAATGTTTCCATGGGAACCGATATACTTCGGGATGTGATAGTAACCTGGGAAAGTTATTGATATAATACTATTAGGGGGGACAGTTATCAAACAAGATATATCTGCTTACTGACTTGTCTCTTCCGAAACAAATAACACTTCAGAATTCGTAGTTTTACTGTAGTTTTGGCATGAAGAAAACCTACAAATGGGCACGGACAGTTATCCTGTGCATCCAAACGTAAGAAACTGGAAACTTTGTTATCTCGGTCTCTCGGTCGTATATTCTTAAAGGAATACGCGATAAAAGAGAACGCCTGTGTATCCTTTTTAGTGTTCTGCCTCTTATGAAAACAAATCATCATTCTCCATAGCTTCGGGTATTGCAGCTGCCTATTTGTAACAGCAATCTCACGTGGCAATTAAACACAGCTGGTTTCACTGCATGCTTGTTTTATTTTGATCTCCTTCCTTACATGGTAAGGCTACCATCATATGTTTTTCATTGCAATAAAAGTTTTCCCGTTATATAAATACTAAATTAACCAGATATTTGTTTTGAAGAAGCAAATACAGTTATGTATTCTGCCTTCAAGATATAATCATTATTAATAAACATAGTTCCCTGTCTCATTTGGAAGTCATTGTAAGATTACTTCCCAATTGATACTTCTACCCTTTGTTTCCAATTTTTCTAAAAGCAACTATTTCTTCTTTGTCTTTTATTTATATTCATACAGGTACATATGGAACAGTCTTTAAAGCCAAAAACAGAGAAACTCATGAGATTGTAGCTCTGAAAAGAGTACGGTTAGACGACGACGATGAGGTATGAACTGGTTATTTTCTTTTCTAGTGCATACCAAGTGAGGTACTGAAAATTATCATGTGTTTTCTCTCCGGTAAATTTCATGATAGATTCACAACAGATTATTTGTTACATTCAGGTGCTATTAAGAGTTTAGACAAAAGCATAAAATTTGCTGTGTGATGCAGTTACAATTAATTTAATAATAGAATTACAAAACTCAGAATGCAGTTTGAAACTTTATCCATAGTGACTTAAATTTACCATGTTTATACATATTATGCCTCTTATGTATTAGTATTATGTCTCTAATTTTTCAGGGTGTTCCAAGTTCAGCATTGCGAGAAATTTGCTTGTTGAAAGAACTAAAACATAAAAATATAGTTAGGTAAGTGGTTTTTGATTTCTTCAGTTATTAACTGGCATGAAACAGAATTGTTTAATGGTGTTGTGTTGAATCATGTTTGTATCTGAAGCTTGATATTGGAATGTAAATTATGTGGTGCTCCTGCAGGTTTGTTTGTTTCTAGGTAACAAGAACTTATCATTTTGTGATTCTTATAACATTTAAATTGTTGTTTGTCTGACATTCAAATTCTGAATGTATAGAAGTTGTAATCATACTGTAACTTAACATGTAGCTCCTCTCAGATTCTGAGGTGAGCAACACTCATTGAACTACAATTAAGAATGCCTTTCTTAATTTAGCAGGCCCAGATTGGCCGATATATATGTTTTTGTGACCCAATGCTTCTGATCTCTAGTTTGAATACCTCTTACAAGTCAGGGGACTAGCTGTGGGACCTGGGTTTGTAATGTAATAGATGTTATAGGGTAACTGCAGTATATTTTTCTATCTAAAGTATATTCACTTGCAATTTAATGATAACACTCTTAGCCTTTCCCTGATTTAAAAACACATATATATACTAAAACACAGTGGCTGTTCAACCGCTCTACCTGCAAAATATGCAAGTACTAAAATTATAGATAGAAACTACAGTTCTTGTAGAACTTCACTAGAAAAATGTTGTTGTTTAAAGGGGAAAGTGAAGTAATTCTAATACTGTATGTGGGATAATATGAAGAATAAACCATTCAAACAATACCACAAACTCTATTTTAAAAGAATTGGGTTTCAATTCAACAACTGCACAAAACATAATGTAAATCAAACTGTCAATCGTAACGTAATAATATCTATATATTAAGTGTCTTTCAAATAGTCCAGGAGAAAGAGCAATAGGCAAGGTGGTTGTAGGGCTGTTGATCCCAAATCAAAAATAGAAAAAATACATTTTAAATTCTGAAAAAATGAAGAATAGGCAAAAGCCTGAATCAAGAATATTTATACTCACTCCCCAATCTGTAGTGCACAATTAACAGAGCGCCAATGATATTAGTGGGTGAGGAATTTAACAGTTCCTGATAACACAGAGACCTCTGCAGCTTCCCAGTTGCTTGCATTGTAGTGCTGTTAGTCAGAGGGCATGCCTCCCATCAAATCAGTTTGGAATGTCCCATACAGGACTATATATTGTAAAATGTATTAAAAAAACGAATGTGATAGAGAGAGGCAAGTCAGAGAAGCCAGCTAAAGTTTCTTATTGTCCCCTGTGTGAGGTTGCAATCCCAAATTGGGCAGGTAAATAGCAAAATAATTGGAGTAATTAAGAGCTGACAGATTTCAATTTAAAAAAAAAGACTGGAATATATTTTCTTATGTGGTCATATATAACTGTTGGTAAGCTGCATATGCTCTCAAGATCACAATTTTACCAGGACATGCCTGCTTTGGTTTAAGTTTAATAGATCAGATGGGAGAAGGAATATAATTCATGTTTTCATGTTTTTCTTTTTCTTCTTTACAGGTTGCATGATGTTCTGCACAGCGATAAGAAGTTAACTTTAGTATTTGAGTACTGTGATCAGGTGAGACTGAGAGCACACACACATGCACCTTACTACTTACATAATTTTCATCACTATTGTGCTAACCATGACTATTTTCACATAATTTCATGAAATGAATTAATGTTTACATTTAATTGCTAGGATTGATTGGTTGCCATGCTGAAGTTATTTACAGTAGGAAATAAAATAAGGAAATGTACTCCAAATTAAATAGTGTTCCACGACTAGATTTCTGTTTTGAGTGTTGTGGTATGTATTAAGAGCCTGTACTCATTATGAATTATTAGAACAAATATTAATTATTTATTTTTTCTTCATAACTGCGAGGGAGGGAACCATCTAAATAGACTTATAAATTCACTTTTTGCATATATATGCATATATAAATTCAAAGTTAGTAGTCACATGTATCTGCTTGACCATTTCTAGAACTCATCAGTGTGAAATTAATGGACCTCTGAAATGGGCATAAATAATCTTCAAATATGTAAGAATCATATGATCTGTATACACTAAGAGTGCATTAATGCTTTCACTATTAATTATGGTAAGAAATATTGAGGCAATTTACCAGACTTCTAGTTCTCCCTTTGAAATAAACAATTGTGTGCAAAAGTTTAGGCATCCGTGTTTTTGTAACACATCTCCAAGTGAATAGTAGGTGACACAGCCTCTACATGGTGCAAAGTTAAACTCAACCTTTCTGTAAATTATAATGTAAAATTGCTATTTGTTCATTTAACAGAAAAAATAAAAGAAGTGAATGTGGTCTGTGCAAACGTTTAGGCATTTGATTCATTACTACCTTTTTAATTTTCTTTCCAAGTCTAATGTCCAAGTCTTGAAAATAAAGATTATTCACTCTAACAAAGCAAGGGTAGGCTTTAAAAGATCTGTAAACCCTTCCAGCTTTCCACCATTTCAAGTGTCAGGAGCATCATTAAGAAATGGAAGTTAAAGGGTTGACTGTTGAAGTCAAAGCAAGATCTGGATCTGGAAGACCCACAAAAATCTCTGATAGAACTGCTCAGAAAGTAGTCAGACCTACAAAACAATATCCACAGACCATTTCTAAGGACTTGCGGAGATCTTTAGCTGACACTGAAGTAGTTGTCTGTACAGCACTGCTAACACAAAAATGATCTGCACGTGAGAGTTGTCAAAAGGAAACCTTTAGTATGCTTTATAAATAACTATATTAATGTACTGCTTTGTCTGCCCAGTGGAGTCATTGCCTATTATAGATATCTTGTCAATTTTAAAAGGTTTGAAATCAATTATATTGAGAATGACTAATGAATATCCTTTAGGATTAGGCTTGTGGGCTATAAAGAGGCTGTATTAATTATATTTATTGTCACTGACGGTATAAGATTGGGGTCTAACTGAGTCTTATAATTATGAATATTCTGCAGGACTAAAGTCAGCTTTAAAAAGAAAATCTAGTTTAAGAACCAAGTGAAATACCTTAGTATTGAGAACTAATTAAAATATTTTAATATAGCATTTTTAATCAAAATTATAATTTATTAGATCTTAGTTATCATAAAATTCATATATGATTTATTTTGTGTGTTTATATATGTGTGAAGAGCAGACATTTTCAATACATCACCATAGAATGATGATAATCCTAAAGGTATTCTTTCTGTGCCATGACAGTCACTGGGAGAAAATGCCATTTGAAATTCAATGTGTTCTGTATACCTAAAGGCTGCAGTTCAAAAACATGTAAGATTAATAATCTTTTACAGGATTTGAAGAAATATTTTGACAGCTGTAATGGTGATTTGGATCCTGAGACTGTAAAGGTAAGCACAGTACATACCTACAGAGAATAGGTAAACAGAAAACAGAACTGTTTAACTGTAGCTATCTGAAAAAATATAGTGCTTAAAAAACATATTTTTTTCCTGTATCCCTAGATAAAAAAACAAGAAAATGATGCACAAACATTTCCTGGATTTGTCTTTCTGCCATTTTTAAAAACACCCAACTGCATTAATAGCCTTGCTATAGGGTCTGGTATGCTGTAAAGACAGATAATGAAGCTGATAATAATAATTAATTATATATATATACTTCTATAGCACTTTTCTGGACATTCCACTCAAAGCACTTTACAGATAATGGGGACTCCCCTCCACCACCACCAATGTGCAGCCCCTGTCATGTGTGACGGTAGCCATAGGGCACCAGAACGCTCACCACACAGCAGTTATCAGTGGGAAGGAGAACAGAGTGATTAAGCCAATTCATAGTTGGGGATTATTAAGAGGCCATGATTGGTAAAGGCCAATGGGAAATTTGGCAAGGATGCCAGGGTAACACCCCTACTCTTTTCGAGAGACGCCCTGGGATTTTTAATGACCACAGAGAGTCAGGACCTTGGTATTATGTCTCATCTGAAGGACGGTGCCTTTTTTATTGTATTATATATATTGTTCCCATCACTATACTGGGGCATTAGGACCCACACAGATCTCAGGGTCAGTGCCCCCAACTGGCACCTCTGTTACCTCTTCCAGCAGCACCCTTAGTTTTTCCCGGATGGTCTCCTATCCAGGTACTGACCAGGCTAACACCTGCTTAGCTTCAGTGGGTTGCCAGTTGTGAGTTGCAGAGTGATATAGCTGCTGGCCATATCACAAATCCACAGTGGTTGATTTGAAACAATGCAATTTATAAATGTAAACCATTATTTGTGCGGGGTATGTTGCAAGTTGCTATTTGGACTTTGGAGTGGAATTTAAAAAATGTTTTAAGAACATTATTAGATTACATAAGATGTAGTCAAATAGTCTGCATACTGACAATTGGGATTAATGTAATAAGAAATTACAGATTGACCAAAAGTATTTTAATTTAGTACCTACAATTCTCTATTTTTAATTACTGTAAGAATTCATTTTGTGCGCTTTTTGGTCTTTATATTATACTGCTCGTGACCAGGTTGTCTAGAATGTGCCTGAGATACAGGACATCTGTTGTTTGCTTTCGTTGATGTCTCTTGTAATAACCTGAAGACGTTACGCCCAGTAACCCAGTAATAGTGTGATCACATGGTTTCATTATTTTGAATATATAAAAAACTGTAAACTGAGGTTGTGTCAACTTCTTTTCCAGCCCTCGAGGGCCCATTTTTAATCTAAATCCTGCACATTACCCTTTGTCACTTGTACATCTGGGTTATATTTAAGAAGCAATATCTCAGGTTCAGTCAGATTCAGTGAGTTGCTGGATTTATAGGATCTACAGTACGAGAGCCTGTAATAGCAAAATGACTTGTTTTCATTCCATATTGTTCTAATAAATTCCGTCATAAGTAAACAGTATTGATGGACTACTGCATATAATACTTGAAGTTCTGTTTGTCTAATTCCTTTTAGTCCTTCATGTACCAGCTGCTGAAAGGGCTGGCTTTTTGTCACAGCCGAAATGTACTACACCGAGACCTCAAACCTCAGAACCTTCTTATTAATAGGGTGAGTAGATCATGTAAGTAGAAATGTATATAGAAAGTGATAGATAGAAGGCTGATTGACCCATTCCTGGGTCAAATCTTGTTCTTTTGTATGGGGCACGTCTTCCACACTAATGAGTTGAACTAAAGAATAGAATTGAACTAAAACTAGTTCTAACAATCAACACTGCAGTGCGCCGTTACATCTAATGCATATTATTTTAACATTACCCATCCCGTCAGTTTGTATTTCCAACCACCTTTCAATTATTGAAAAAGTGTAATGTCTTCAAAATTAATTTTAAAATAGTTATATAAATGTTTTTTTTTTCAAAAAAACATAGAATCAATCTTAATGTTAGTTGTGTAAATTATGTTAATTATTTTTTCTAGCAATTGCACTTTTTTTCTAGGATCCCTTTTCTTCAGGTTTTTGTAAACATTTGTTCATCTTTTACTTTAAACCTAGGGCTTTTTATTTACTTCTAATTACAGTTTGTTCTGTCATTCTACTAAACACAAAGACTAGGAGTTAAAAAGGGAAATATACAATAGAAATAAATATGCTTTTTTCATTATTGTCTCTTTGAGACACGAGAGAAGACGTTTTCTAACGACTTAATCCAATTCAAGATTGTGAGGAAGCTGGAGCCTATCCTGGGAAGCAATGGGCTCAATGCAGGGTCTTGTTCAATAATCTGTTATGTATTTTTGATGAGTTCACTGTAGGTTATCTAAGTAATATAGTTATGCCAGATACTGTAATTGCATTTAACATTAGATTTTATTTTTAAAAAGTTATTACTTTTTACTTTATTACTTTTGTATGGACTGTCATATTCTTTATTGGAAAATCTTTATTTAATTTCTTGCATCTCTTTTTCATGTTTCTTTCATCTCATAATTTTCTTGATTACCTAGTCATTTACCCAACATGCGTGCAAGCATGTCCTTAATAGTCCACTATCCCTCTAATCTATATGAAGTATTAAGCAGCTCAGCTCTCATTTCACAAACATCCCATTGAGGTCAACATGCAAAGTAGTTGTTGTTACTACTGCAACTATGATGACAACAAAAGGGGGAATGCAGTTACCCCAGAAAGATAGTTTGCCAGTGTGGGTAGTAATTAGAAATCAGAGTGTGCTGCGTTGTCTCTGGGAACATCCAGAGCTCTACGTTCTCCTTTTTTTTTCTAGGTGAGGAACATCATTGTGGCAACCAATCATTTATCAATAGAGATCGATGACAGCAACATAATTTTGGACAGTACAAACATAAGGAACAAAACTTGTAGTAGTGAAGAATAAAACATTGGCATTTTACATTTCTGAATGAAAATGTGGAATATTACACAATTTAAGAGTCTAAAATCACAAGAACTAATGGTTTATGTAACAAAGTCAGTGAAGATGTTTAAAGTTCCAGAGTGGAGTAACTGCAAAAGGACTAAAAGGGTAGTTTTCTTTTATACAAAGAGGCTTCTAATTTTTGTAGTGACATTTATTTTAACCTTCTACAAACCGTGCTCTGTGTATTTTCTTTCAGAATGGAGAGCTGAAACTAGCCGATTTTGGATTAGCGAGAGCATTTGGGATTCCAGTCAGATGTTACTCAGCTGAGGTAAATAATATGATGCCTTACAATTATTATTGTGTACTAATAATTAGATAATGTTTTATTAAACTCTTAGATTTTTTTTCTGTTTGCTAGATTGAAAAGTGCTTAATAAAGGTAAAATAATAAAGTATATGAATTATTTTTTTAAATGAATACTATATTTTTTATTCTGTATGTGGGAAAGTTTTTTTTTTATAAATGAAATATCACAGTATAAGTATCTTTTGTTTTTTATTTTCTGAGAGAGGTTTTAATTTCTTATAGGTGGTGACATTGTGGTACAGGCCTCCAGATGTGCTGTTTGGTGCCAAGTTGTATTCTACCTCCATTGACATGTGGTCAGCAGGCTGTATATTTGCAGGTATTGAAAGATTTGCAGGTATTTAGTTCAACAGCTGAGCAGAAAAAAAAATCACCAACATTTCTGTTCTCTAACCCTGCTCTCATTTCTCAGAGGCTTTGGATAATTATCAATATCTATGAGCTAGAATTGGATAATAGAACACATCTATTCCATTTAAATTTTAATCTATTTATGGATTAATTAATTCTGCATTGTGCAGTAGAGTGTTTAATATCTGCACAGTGAGTGACACTACTATAGCGTTTATAACATTAATGTAATTTTTGACATGGTACATCTCAATTTCAGTAAATTAATGCTTTCAAGAATGCAAATTAGTGACTAATAGGTCCTCTAAAAAATATTTTTATATATATTTCTGTTTCTCAGAGTTGGCAAATGCTGGAAGGCCACTTTTCCCAGGAAATGATGTCGATGATCAGCTGAAGAGGATTTTCAGATATCCTTTTAAACTTTTGAATTCAATTTCATTGAATAAAATCAATGCAAAATATTTCTGAAGCATTTGCTTTTTTGTATTTTTTTTCTAAGACACTTGAGTGTGAGTGGGAAATGCAATTAGACTGTAATGATTTAAGAGTAAGAGCAGTTTGTGGACAAAGTAACTCATGCATCATTTGAATGTCATGCCTGTGGGTGTTTACTGTAGTGACGTTAATGGCAAGTTTAGGTCTTTAGAGAGGCGAGATAGAGTTTAGTAAGAGAAATGTTTTATCTCTTTGTGGACTGTGTGACACTATTTTATACAAACTGTTCATTTGTATTTTTATCAAATTCAATATTAGTATTTTCTACAATATGGTACATAAAGCAATTTATAATATCCTATGTCTTTAAGCTATGGAAGACTCCGTGTCAGAGTGTAGCATAATACAGCATGTGAAATGCTAGGCTGTCATACGTTATGAATTTATTAGGAAGATGAACTCAGCTAATTAGATGAGGATTCAACCCGAAATTTGAACTTAAAGTTTTCTTTAATATGGTTACATTGTTAGGGACACCAACAGAAGAGCAGTGGCCCACTATGACCAAGCTTCCAGATTACAAGGTAAGCTACTTCCCCTGTATCATAGAACGAAAATAACGTTTTCATTTTCAATAAAGAACATAAAAAACAAATTAACCTCATATAGGAAACCCTATATAAAAATGAGAGCCCTCTTTCCCCCTTTTCTTTGCTTAGTCTGTGAGCTAATTATTCAGGTTTTCAAGATAAGAGAAAGCTTCTGACCACACAGGCATAATACAAACTTGAGAGATGTAACAGTGTCTGGTAAACAAAGTCCACATTAAAAAGTAGCAGTATTAATAATGAGTTTGGAATGTTGTTTTGTAAGAAGAGCCACAGTAATTGAGGCTTTTTAAATACAATGTGAGAATACTATAGCTGAGTGCAAGCCATGCAGCCTATCACAACAGTGTAACATTTAGATCTAAGAGTTCCATTTCCAAGTATTAGTATGAATTTGTAGCCACATCATGAGGTTATGTTCAATCTGTGTTTACAATATTGCTTGCAAATCAGACCTTCCATGAATTTGTTGGAAAAAAAAGATGACTTTGTGAGGCGATTGTAAAACATTTCATGAAAAAAATGCCAATAGTAAATTCTCTCAGTAAATTTGTAAATTTCTTCTTTTGTACAAATGTTTTACAATGTCACTAGAATTGTTTACTGTCATCTAATCCATAAATAATGATCAGAGTAAATAAAAAATAATGTTATGTCCAATATTTCTTCTTAATATGTCTGGGGAAAGAAACATTTGCATAAAGAAGTGTTTCTAGTCTTTGAAAACATGAAAACCACTGACCTATATGAGGTGCTGGACTGGGACTAGGGTTGGAGGCTGGAACCTCCATAGTATGTGCAAAATGTGATTTTCTGTTGACCAGTTTTCTGTTGATACAGTCTTACCCTGATGACTTTAAAGATCTCCTTTGGTTTGTAGAATTAAATCATTGTAATCCATTCATTGGTTTGTCAGTAATACTTTGCAATATGCTTATTCAACACTAATTTAAAAGCATTAGTATTTACCTGTCGCATACTAGAGGACGGTGTGGCCACACTGAACTGTAAACTACTTTTGTAGATCACAGACTGAGGTACATTTATGCCCCAGTGGAAACATATTAAATGACATCACAATGAAAGTCTTAAAATGCACTTAAGCAAAGAAATTATTAATACTAAACATTTTAGAGTTAATACCTTTATGGATTTTTTGTGCTTGAATGATAAATATAAGGTATTCTAATTAGTTTTCTCTTATTATTAAAAAAATATTGTTAGTGATTAAAAGCATTGAGCTAATGTGACAGACAAAATGAGCAGGTTAATCATTTGACTAATCACATAAAGACCATCATTTGAGTAGATCATAATGATTTATAATTTGTGTAAATTACACTATGGCATTAGTTTGAGGATACACAGGCCTTTGTTCTTGGTGACTGACTCCTGTTTATAGTCTTGTCTAGAATCATGTACAATAGTTTACTTTATTAGGTACTAAGCTTTGCTTTAGCTAAAATAGTTAATAGATTATTAACTATTTTAAGTTTCCCCATGTTTTTTTTTCCAGCCCTACCCCATGTATCCAGCTACAACATCATTGGTGAATGTTGTTCCAAAGTTAAGTCCCACAGGACGAGACCTGTTACAGGTTAGTATAATCAAAATCAAAGCAAAGAGAGTAAGTGGTATCTAGAACTGATAGGTGTGAAGCGTCTTTGACTTTCATTATTTAATGTCTCTTAAAATGTAAGTACTTGTTTGCCAGACGAAATTCAACATTGCTCCCAATTACTGTAGTTTTATCAAGCAAAAAGTAAGTGGTGCCCTTTAGAAACTCATTCCTGCTTCTGCATTATAAAATTCTGCTCCGTTGAACTGACCAGTTCAGGTACAAAAAAAAATATTTTCACATTGCTTGGACACTGTATACAGATATATTTGTACTATAAAGAAGTATTTTTGTAGCACAAATATTACTTTCGCTACAGATATTGTAGCACAAGCTACATACTTAGCTTGATGTGCATATTTGTGAGGGTTTCATTTTATTTTATGTGGCTGTGGTCTTATAAAATTGAATATTCCTATGAAAGGATTAGACAGGACTTCAATAAGCCATCTTATATAAAGGCAGAAGGGAGAAAATAATTATTATTGAATTATCAAAACTCATTATTCTCCTTTTCCATCTCAAATTTCCTAAAGACACGTCCTTATTGTAAGCAAATATAATGCAGGTGCTTATTGAGAACTTTGTTATTGTCGAGTTTCATTTTCCCAGTGTCTTCAACTCCTTGCTGGCTGTGCGTTTTACAGAACCTGTTAAAGTGCAATCCCGTGCAGCGGATCTCTGCAGAGGAAGCCTTGCAGCACCCATACTTCGCTGACTTCTGTCCTCCTTAAACATTTGCCAAATCTTACTATTGCACTTCGGCTATCATCCTGCGTCAAAGGTTTCACTCAAGAGCTCAACGAAGGACACGTCAAATGACTGGAGAACCCACACTGAACCTGGAACTGCTTGTAAATTTACTGTTTCTTTTCTCTAATTTCTTTCTTTTATTCTGGCCTCATCCAGAACTTTGATGGATAGCATATCAACGCTTTATCTGTTTAGATGCATGCTCACCTAAACTGCCTTGTTGAAAAATAAGAGCATGAAACGGACTCAACCCAGACTGTATACAGTAGGATACTCTAATGTAAGTGTCCATGCTTCTCTTTACACACTGGATTTTTAATTTTTCACAGTATAGTTCGATCCTGTCTAGGCTGTATTTGAGAAGAATGATGTGTAAAAAGTAATAAAGCAGTTAATCACAATGTAAAGGTAGGTCATTATATCGGAACCACCTCTAATCCAGTATTCTTGTGCTTAAAGTAAACAGTTCATATAAAGCCCAAATTTGACAATTCCATTGTACGCATCGTAACATTCTCTTCTTTTTCACTGCAATGTAACATTCTTTTCTTTTTCACTGGATATAATCAAAGCTTTCATGGATGCAGTGTTGGATAAGAGAAGCAACTTTATTTGTTTATTGGCAGATGGACAGAATGTAGCAGTTTGGTGGCAGCTATACATTTTACAAAAAGCTTTCCAATTCAAAATTGTATATAATTCTTTACAGGAACATGTAGCCTACATATGTTGTCAAGGTGATATTTTCATTCCATAGGGGGAAGTCTCCAAATTGACTATTATTCTGTTATTGCAGCATTACTACTCCTAAAAAGTATGTGCTGCGGCAATTAGAAATGCCATGCTCATCATACATAAAATAAAAAAGATAAGGTTTCTACTGCAGCAATCAAACAGCGTGGCAGGACAGTGAACAATTGTATGGCATAGTTGTGGTGTTAATGTAATTTCCTTAACTAACTTTGTAGCAGTAATACTCTCTTCAAACCAAAACATAAAAGAATATACAAGACATTACATTTATGACATAACCATAAGATTGACTTTGATACAAACATGTATGAGATGGCCATGTGATGAAAAGTGAGCTTTGACATAAAATTAATCTTCTGATGTGTCGGAATTGAATCTTAAGATATATTTATAAGTAATCAAACCTTAAATTGCTACTGGTGCTTTTGCACCACAGGCTGTAGCATCACAAAACAGAGTAAGTGTAGTTATGTCGAATTCTAAGTAAGCAAAATGCTTGAATTTTTTTGAATGATTGCTTTGTGTCTAATGTACAAGAAACACATCTCCTGCAGTTTAGGTCCTAGGTTGTTGTTATTGTAGGCATAAAATCCTTAATGTATATTTTTTTTATAAAATAATAAAATGTCTTTTTAAAGAAGCACACAATTGTTTCACTACAATATTCAAGTCAGTCCAGAAAATAGAAGTAATAGTTTTGCAATAAGAATACATGTACTGTATGTACAGTGCCCTCCAAAAGTAAAGTGATAACCATCATTTTTACTTTCGAGCACAGCACTTTGTATTTGTCATCATGAGATGAATATGATTGGCAACATAATATTCCATTTTATTTTTGGTCAATTCTGTTTATACATTTGATCATACAGTATATCCATACATACCGTACATACCATTGCTTGGCCACTTCAGGAACTGACCATGAGAATGCATAGAAAATGCACATTGCAGCACACAATAATACAAATAGCATAAATACATGTGTCCATGCTTATTCTGTTGTTGTCATACTATTCTAAACATTTGATCTGGCAGTGATGCAATTTGCAGGTCTCCAATGTCGGTCTGGAAGGGTACTGTATCTAATAGAGACAAAATAGAAGATTTGCAACAATACTGACATTGTCTACCAATGACAATACCATGTGATCTTGTCTGAAGGGACAATTACAGTGGATATTCTTCTGAGCTGGCAGTTGTGTAAAGTATTTTGGTTAGTAATCTAGTATTTGTAAGGCTTCAAATGGTAATGGGTGACATTTTGAAGTACTGACTCACAGCCCAACTATCTTGGGTGTCTGTCTAGGTAGAACTTGCATGTTTTTCCCATAATCAGTTTCCTCCCACCTCTCCTCCTAAAGGCATACTGGCTAGGTTTGATTGCCTATTCTAAGTTGTCCCTTTATTCATTACCCTTAACCCCAGGGGTTAGAGCAGTTGTATGCTCTCATTCCACTTTGGTTTTCATGACCCTGAACAGAAATAGCCTTTGCATTTTCCCATCCATTCTGTGCTTTACCCCAAGAATAAGAATAGTATTTGGCAGTACAACTATACTTTGAATTATAGTTTCATGACTGTAACGTTCTTTAGTTGTTCGTCTTTTCTGCCATAGAGATTAGTGACCACATGACATGACGTGTTCTAAGTGTGCCACGACAGTTTCCAATAACCCGTTTTATTTAATGGGGTCCATCTTAATTCATAGGAGTGAATATTTGAGGTAGGATGGACTCTCCATCGGGACCAATTTGATATTGTAAATGACAGAACGGATTATAACAGTCACTGGTATATTTTACATGATTTTTTTTTGTTTTATTTGTTTGTCTTCAAGGCAGGTTTATATATTTTCATTCAAATGTGAAATATACTGCAAATAATTGGGTTATTTGGTGGTAGGGTTTATACATTTTTGGAAGATTTGATTGTGATTTTGCAGTACTCAATAAAATGCAGTCCCTTTAGAATTAAATGATTTCCATTTGAAATCACGTTATACTACTTCATAGTTGAATATAGACATTAAGCATTTGCTAGATGTTACTTAAAATGGTGATGACTAGACAAAGGTATTTTAATATTTGATTCCAGTGTTTCAAAGTCCATTTGTAAAATGTATACAGTTGTTTTTCAAATATCTTGAATTTTTCAAAAATATTCTCATTCTAATTCACTGAGGTTTTAGCTGGTAACTAATTACTCGACTCCATCTGTCCTGGCAAACTGCAATTGAAAATATTGAATTTTCTTTACTGTTTTGGTATTAAGTGGTATTACTGCAAAGATGAAAATTATGTTATTTCGTTGCGGCATTTATTTTGATTTAGCTTTTTTAAGAAAATTGAAATCATTTTCCTTTGTTGTTAATATTGATAATTAGAATGTTGTGCAAATATGGTTATCACTGCTTTAGGAAGATCCAGTAAATAACCATTCCACTGTGTTGTACAGTACAGTATGTGCATTTCATCATTGTTCAAATAGGTCATTGCACTCTTGATCAGAAGTGAATCACAATTAGGATTGTTGTCAGGTATTTATATTTATATTTTGTGACTGGAGAGGAGAAATGTGAAGTATATTTGAGAAGTGCTAATTTAAGTTAAGAATAACCCATGGTAGCATTAACTGATGTACAGAATAATGCATAAATCTCAAGAATCTTAAATTACAACCTATTGGATACTAAACAAGTTTTTTAGTAGTCAGTGTCTATTTGACGTTTTTTTTTTCCAATTAGTAATTGCCAATGGACTAAGTTTGAATTTGTAAAATAAAAAAAGTGTTCATCTTAAATCTTCTAGAATGCACCTTGAGCGAAATTTTAATCAAGTAGTCCTACATTCATATAGTTTTCTTTTGGTAACAGTTTGCAGCCTGTTTCCAATTTGACTTGAAACAAATGAAAAACAGATCTAACAAGTATCATTAAAAATTGTAAAGGAGGTTGCTTTTTTCCTTGCACTTCATTATTTTGAAGTTTATGGTTGGATAACCAGTGGAAGAATGTGTCTAATTTGCTTTTCTGAAATTACTCAGTGCTGTATTGTCAGTTTAAGGTAGTATTTCTTCAGAGTGCACTTAAAAAAAATAAAAGAACATTATTTAAACAACTTCTTGATTACCTCAGTATACCTGTAACTATGATTTGGAAATGTTTTATATTGTTTCATCAAATGTAATGGTACTTTAGTTGTCATTTGATTTATTACCAAAATCTTTCTATCTTAAAAGCCTAAAGGAGAAATGATCAGGTAGAACATGGTTGGCAAACAATAAACAATTCACATCTAAAAGGATTCAAAGATTAATTGGGTCACATATGACCACTGGAAGAACAGAACTCTGCAGTGAGATCACCTTCATTGCCGAAAGGCAATTTACAATAGCTGGCTTTTCTGAGTACATAAGTTGTTATTTTTATGTTGTATACACACATACTGTACATTTTAATTTGTATGATTGGTAAATATTTAATTAAGTTGATTCAAAGTTTCATGTACCATATATTTTAAGTTCTAGTTATTCTTATTTTTATTGTAAAGTTTTTTTTTTAATTCCCAGATGCTTTCAACATTGCCAGACTTATTAAGGTAGTAGTAGATGCAAAGATAGCAACATTAATTTCTCCTTAATGTTTGGCCTTTATGCAAATTTCAGCTAATTAACATTATGTGTGAGCAGACAGATTCATACTGGTATTATCCTTACTTCAGTATCTCTGTTATGAAGAGAACACGGTGGGCTCCTAACAGTACATTTATGGTGTATATTCTGCCTGTGTAACTTTTCTCTGTATCGCATCCCTCACATTTTGTGAATAAAGTCTACATAAAAAATAATGACTGGTATGTGATGAGATTTTAATCCATGTTCTCCTCTCCATCTTTGAAATGGTCTCCACATTTAAAATCCTCTATTGATTCTTTGGACGTGTACTACAAGTCACAATAAAGACTCAAAAGTTTGACTCCACCAACATGAGTGAGAGATTTTTTATTTATTTAAATAACACGTTGGCTCTTAGCTCATTCACAAAATATGCAGATAGTTATTTACGGAATATATTTATACAGTAAATAGAGCCAGATGAAAGAAATCCCACCCCTCAGGTATCAGTCATCATATAAGCTAGATGTAAGAGGGCATACAAATACAAATTTAAGAACATAGAAATGGCTGCATTCAGTATTTCCTTACATAATTTGCATTGTGTTTGATATAAAATAAATGTCTGTCTTGTCACATTTTGTTTTTATCATGCAGAGGCACTGTAAGCTCTGCTCTTCAGTAGGCTTTGCATTGTACTTTAGGTACAGTCTTGTACAGTAGTTACTGTACCTTCTTTCCATGATTTGTAATCAATTATTTCGTATATATTGTACCCTAATGCACAAAAAAGTCTCAAAATGCTCTACCACACAATGCAAAAGATCTTCCATCCATGTAGAAAGACAAAGATTGTTGCTTTCAGTCTTCAAATTAAACTGGAAATCTACAGTATTATTACACTGGTAGTAATACTGTAGGTTCTAATGGCAATGAAAGACAACCCAAAGACCTCTGCTAAAAAGGCCATCAAAAGCAATCGTCATGTACAAGAAATATGTAAAATAATATACAGCGCAATGACAAGTCATGTTCAACAGAAGCAGATCTGTACTGTAAAATAATATTATGTTTCCCAGTTGTACTACAGGTCCTGGAGAAGAACAAATTAAAAGTGTCCAGTATTAGACACCGCTTCCTTTCATTAGGTCCAGGAGTGTGAAACATAAAAGGAACTGACAATGTGTATAAAAGGCACAATTAAATAAATTGGGCTCACTTCACATGTTTGGTGGTGCTCTCCCAGCATTGTTTTGTTTTTGCTTCACAATAAAAGCAATGACCTAGCAGCTCAGTGACCTTTTGACAGTGCAAAAGCAGAAAACCCCTAAATCTACGTAAATGCAGGTCACTGGGCAAGTGCTTCAGGAGTTCAATATTCAAAGTGACATTTTCTTCACACCTGTTCAAGTTCGAACCTGATGAATGTGCCTTTCAATTGTTTTCTTTTATTGTGACAATTGCTAAAAAAGCATATACTGTATAGTATATAAAGCTTTTGGTATGATTATAATTAAAATCACAAGAATGTATGAGTTACACATTGAAGTTTTATTTTGTGTACAATTATGCTTTTAATGTTCTTGAATTATACAATAAAAGACTACAGGTCTACAGATATGATCATGTATGTACATTTTTAGATTTCGTTCTCAGTGTGGAGCAATATCTGCACAGATTATCTCTCACTTGACTTGGAATTTAGTTCATCTGGCTTCAAAGTACATTACTGATAGATATATACTGAATATGTACTTGAACACTGCAGGGTAAACACAGAAGTACATGAGACATTGGGAGCACGCAGTGAGCATGCAGGAAGGGCAGAGAAGGAGAGGAACACAACAGCACAGTGCACTTTCAGCTGGAAGAAGAGACTACTATTGACTAGATTATGATAGATCTACGCACTAATATTAGGCTGAGATAAGTTTAAAAACAATTGCTTTAAATTTACATTCATTGTTTTGTTCTTGTTTCTTTCAATTTTATTCATGATAAAAGTGTGTTGCTGAAGCAATTGGCCATCTTTTTGGAAATTTGCTTATTGTCCCAGAATTCTCTGTCCTGGCTCATGCTGTCCTGTAATACGTTCAAGGGGTTTAAGGAGATAAATGATTTTATTCTGCAATGAGAGACTTTGATGCCACATACAAAGACAAAAAAAAGTGTAGTCTGAAAAGTACCAGCTGAGATATTCAGAAACTGGTCTGTACTCCTGAGATTTATGTCCTAATTTCCTGTATATTGAATGCTATGTCCTCTGGAACTCAAGTTTTGCAGTTTCTTGTCACCAAAAATATATTATGACTAGGAGTCCACTTGCTGTAACATAAGTATATCAACCACAAACAAAATAAAATGTGCTTCCTTGTTCTCAAAATAAGCTTCAAAACAATATAATGATAATAATATCTGGACAAAACTGATGTTGCATAGCAAATAAAAATGTAAAAATAGAATTAACATATTTGCAGATACCTTTTTGATACAATTGATATAATGATTTCTACATTTCAAATTCAAAGTATTATTCATGATGAATCTGGTCCTTGTTTAAAAAACAAAAATGTCATTTCCAACATTTGTTTTTCATATTCAGAAATTGATTACCTTCAGAAAGATGTGTTTTTATTTCACACATGCTCACTCTATTATTATGTGCCTGGAAATTATACACAGAATAAACACAAACTTTGCTTGTGTGGAATAAATATATTCTTGGTGACTAAAAAAACATGAACTATGCATCAAAGCATTGAAATGCAATGTGTCACAGAATCATCTAAAGTTAAAGTGACTTGTAAGGCTAACCACATAAGAACAAAAGATCATAAAAGCAATGATTAACTGCACACAAAAGTTCATTAGTTGAATGGGTTACATTGGAGATGTTGTACTGGTTACTTCACACACTACTTACTTCAGTTACTTTTTGGTAAGCAGACATGCAATTCTTCTTTAATCTTATGGGTTTTATGTTAAGAAATACAACACCTTCTGTGCTTTGAAAGCATAACGATTTATAGCTGGTTCAATTAACATAAGACATTCTCTAGTATTATCAGGTATCACCTCAATCACTACCAGCGTTTCTTATTACTACTTTGTCAAATGCACATTTCTACAAATGTTGTATTTCTCATCATAAAAAATATATATTAACTAATTGTCAGACATCCAGACATAGACAAATAAGTAGAATAATAGAAGCATGTTCTGGGATCATATTGAACTTTTTTAAAAGTAAAGAAACATCATTTTGGGTTTCCAAGCTCAATAACAAAAAAACAACATATGTGTTACAAAAGGCAGAAATTACATTTTAATGTTCCTTCAGATACAGTATTGACTACTTAAGCTAGTATTTTTCTAAATGCATATTTTGGCAGAGAGTTTTTTTGTGTTCTACTCATTCACTGCACAAAAAAATTTGCACCCTTTTGTATTAAGGTTAAACAATTATTTTCACTTCATTATTTCACTTCATAAGGTTAATACCAAGGACTCACTGAGGCCTCACAAAACTCCCTTAGATTTTAGTTTGATGATAAACCTAAAACAATGTACTGAAATTAATAAATATATGATTTCCTGGTATCTTGAAAGATGACTGCACAAAATAGTATTGAGGCAAAAGATAATAAACAGCTTTAGTGCCTTATTTTTTTCAGGCCTCTGGTTTGTCATTTTTCTTTGCTTTTTGTAATTGTTTTTTTTTAAGTCTCACTGAGTCATCAGACATGTGTAAGATGGAGAGTTCAAGCCCTCCAAGATCTACTAATAAAGTGACTCAGAGGATGAATCGTACAAAAGAGCAGTTAAGTACCACCATTGCAATGCATTGAACCTTTCTCTTAATCATTAACACAGCAGTGAAACCCCCGTTATGATTTTTCTGTATGAAAGAATTACAAGGACCTATATCCAAAATACTGCATTATAACAACATTACTGCATAACGTCTTCTGGGCTGAATGGCTAGTGATTTGCACAAACTGGTCTGTCACCTGCCGGCATTTTAGATGACAAAATGTACACTTACAGTCATTGTCTCAACAGTTTGGACGAATTTCATTTAAAAAAAGAATCAATTTTTTTTTTTGTGACACTCACTTGATCTGGATTGCCAATTGCGTGTATTTTTCTTTTTATCTCGCATTTATGAACCTAGTGACCGCTCATTGGGGACAGGGGTAGTGTAGGCAGACTGTTCATCCCAACTTTGAAAAGCCCGTCTTTTAACACCTCTCAGGCGTCACAGCCTCATACTGGAGGTTCAGTGCTTCATTGACAGTACCTCATGCCTGCAAACAAGTTGAATAAAGTTACATTTTAATTTCTGGCATGCACATAACTGATTTTCTCTTTGTTCTGCTTGTACTGTAAATTGTATCTTTCAGAGATCTCTAACCATGTCAGAGAAACATTTGCTCTACTTCTTGACTCAATAACATAAGAATACAGCATGACAAGCAGAATGATTCCATCTCAATGTAATGTTTCTTATTAACTTTGTGCACAAGTCACCATTGACAGGCATAATTTCTTTTGTTCTTTTTCTTTTTTTTTTGTTTTTAGAACATCTTACAAAACAAGTATATAGGCTTATTGTTTAGTATTTACAATGTTATGTGCTGAACAGGGACTTCTACCTCCTGTACAATATAAGACTACACATCAGCAGGATTTGTCAACACAGTTAACAATCAAATTGATTCATTTTCTTTACAGGACTTGTCACTGCTCATGGCATGCATACTTCTAATAGTAATATCCACAAGATGTCACCTGTTGGCTTTTCCCATTTTCACAGTGATAGGTTGGAATATTTAACACCTCAGTGGCCAATGTGTGGCATTTGAATGTTTAGAGAAAGTTGGTCTACCAGTGAAAAATCACAGAATGGCATAGACCCTCTGGTCTCTGCAGTACATGTCTCTTTTCTAGTTAAACATTTGTTAATGGTCCGTATTGTGCGCTAACAAAACAACAGATAATTATTTTATCACTTTCAGCAATGAAGTGCAACATAAGTAATATACAGTATTTCTTTGTAAAGAACAGATGAGGGGTCATCAACTATGCATCTGTTCAGAAAAAGCACCACACATTATGAACACAGAAAGCCTGGGGAAATGAAGGCTGTTATCAGGACTTAACAGGGCTCAGTGCACTGAGCATGTTACAGAAGTGATGACACTGCTTGAAACAGTGTAGTATTCTCCTGTGGTGAAAGACCTAGGCTTTCAGCTCAGCAGAGATCTCTGCTTTCTCAGAAGTAGTTCGTGTTTGCTCTGAGCCTGCAAGCAGTGATCAAATCCCAGCAGAGGCATAACAGAGGCGCACTTGTCAGACTTACAAGACTATATGCATTGACCTTTGTCACCCCCATCCCAGCTGAAGCAGATCATTTTGGAAAAAGTTGCATTGTAATTGCAGGAGACCATTCATTTCCAGTGCTTTTTACTTGCAATGTCAATTCCAAACTGAGAAGAACTTAACATCAAAATGAGAAGATATGTTTGAGGGATGTTCAAAAATCTTGCCATTTTGATTCTTGGTGTCCAAAACAAATACTCATAGATGGGAATTACTTAGGAATCTTACATTATTTTTACTGAAACTACCTATACCAGACGATAAAGATGAATCTGTCCCAACAAGAATATCATTTATTTTCATCAAAATAAAGGGTTGCTACAGAGATTCAAATGAACTCCATGGCAAAACCAATTAAAGGACGTGGTTAGAAGATTTACATGAAAAAAAATCAGAGGTACAAGAATTTCCACTTGACCCTAATACTGTACAGACCAGACTAACCATCAGATTTCCTAGACCATCTAGAACAGGCTTCTGGGATTTTTTTTCAAATGTTTAAGTTAGAGACTTCACCATAATGTTCCAAGACAGATTCTAATGTTGTGCTGCATAAACCGTTTGGGAAAAAATCAAATTTTATCTACATCAAATACGCTTTGGACACTCTCAGATGATGTGTTGTATCCTAGCAACATTCTCTAGGAACCAACCCATAATGGAAATTTTATAAGAAAAGAGTAGAGGTCAGTCTTTTTCAAGTACATTAAAAATTAGATAGGGGCAGTAGATTTTTGTTTTGATTCAGTTACAGTCAAATTTTATTCATGTCCTTGTTGTATTTATTTAAACTCATCTGAGGCCTTCAGTTTTTTATATGTGGATAAATAATATTTTTTTCTCTGTCATAAAACTTTAGATAACCTATTTTGCAGGTAAGTTTTCAATCCCTTGGTACTTGTCTTGCATTTCTTACATAAATAGTCTTGTGAATAATTGGATTCATTAGTGTAACTGAAAAAATGGTGTAACCTGAGGTTTAAAGTAGATTAGTCTTCCTTTGGTATCTGAAGGCAATTCCCCTAAAATGGAAAAGTTAATAATATAACATAGTAATTTAATAATTATCATGTAATAATTAACTGACCACATATAAAAAGTAATTGTTAACTCTCTCTTTGTATGCTTCTTTTCAGTTCTGATCTTTCCCCAGACAGATTGCAACTTCTCAGATTGGTTATAACCCCCAAACCACTGAAACACAGTCAGATTAATTCCTTCAGCCCTGACCATTTGTGAAAATGAGTTTTGTAAATCAAATTTTCAGCATCAGCTACTAATGACATTTAAATTTTGTGTCTTTCCCTCACCTCCCTTGACATCCCCTTGTTAGTATATGGGACAAACAAACAGACAACTTTGCTTATGACCCTTCAAATCGTTTTTCTTTGTGACTTATTCCCTTTTGATTGATTTATACATATTTCAGTATTCATCTGTGGTGTGTAGCTGGACTAATAAAACCTCAAATCTACAGTTACTGTAAACATGAGCTGAGATGATACCTCAGTACTACCAAATATATCTTTATACTACTTTCAGAAAACATTAGAATTCATATCTCAAGCAGCAAATTGTGAGAATTCTGCTTCGCACAATCCATGGTGAGGATGTTGACATTGCAGTGAGGGACTTTTTCTCCTTCACATTTCCAGTCTCAATATAACCACAGGAGACATTTACAGGTTATTGTCCTATTGAGCCATTGCTTTAGCATGACATGGATACACTAATATCAGATTAGTGGTAGTCAATTCATTTATTCATTTTTATGACTTTTGCTTCCCAGATGCAGTTTAACTGTTCCCATAGTGCTTTCTGCCAAATGCGAAGATTTTCATTGCCTATGCAGTATTTTCTTCAGCCTTGCAGATTGGTCCAGAATCCTGAAAAAGTTCTGATGGGAATTTATTGCCCATTCTTTTGTCCATAGTTGTTTCTCTTTTGCTCTTTCTGGGTTCTCAGGAAGAGAGTAGTGAAGCTGTATCTGGTTCATGGAAGTCTTGATGGTACATTTTCCAGCGCAGTAGAATGTGGACTCACATCTCTTCACAGATATCATAGTAGGCTCCTGATGTGTGGGAATTCTTAACAGGATTAAAAACAACACATACAGTACGTACAGAGTTTGGATGCCTGGAGATGTCAGTTCAACCTGAGTTCTGTTTTGGAAGTTTGTGTAATTTTGATAAGTGATTATATTTCTTTCAGGCATTGTTACTCTTTTCTATTCTCCGAATATTATTCTTTTCACTGTAGTTTTTATTTATTTTTTTATTATATATGTATATTTATAACAGTTATTGTCACAGTTTACTGCCAACACCAATTTCCCTCCCCCCAGCGGTTTGTTGTCAACAAGCAAACTCCTCAAAGTTGCCTAAAGTCGGGTGACGAGGTAGCATGTTCGGCGTGAATCCGAGACTGTCCGAGTGACTCCTGAGTGTGTCACAGGTACTCTGCAAAACATGAACGGGGAAGGGGGATTTGGGTTAGGGGTGAGGGACAGGATGTTAAAATTCAGGGTTTGGGAAGAAGAATGGAGGAAAAACAGCAAATTAAAAACAAGGGACATTTATAGACATTATGTAGGGGGTTGAGGTGGAAAACATGAACAGAGAACAGGAAAACAGGTAGGGCACAGAAAAAAAAAAATTGAAGATGGTGTTCCAAACAAGAGAGAAAGAGGAAATGAGAAAGAAACAAATAGAAATGTAAAAGCACAGGAAAGAGAAGAAATGTAAAAATGAATGAAAAGATATTGGTAAATGATTTTAAAAAATGCAATGAAGAAAAAATACGAGAAAGAGTGTAAATTTACAGGAAAAATCCAGTTGTAGACATATAAATGTACCACAACAGGAAACACAGGCATGGAAAATGGGAGCAGTGAGGAGGACAGGACAATAAACAGAGAGAAGGGAGATTTAATCATTTGGAGTACAGAGGGTTGCACAAGAGAAGAGAGAGAACATATTAAAATCAGAGTGAAAAAGGAATGCAAGAGGATTTTTTAAGGGAAAGATGAAAATGAGAAAATGTGGAGGACAGGAAGGTAAAAAGGGAAGAGAAAAAAGAAGTTTGTTTTTTTAGACTAGTGACTTTTACTGTTTGCTATGGAATAGTAAACTAAAATGAAATTTGTATAGCAATGTTTTTCAGAGTGGGTATTAGTGATTGCTAAAGTTGGGGAAAGTTATGTCAGTGGATTGTTATAACATGAGTTCAATTCAATATCTGGGATTAATTGTTCAGGAGATTTCCACAGCAGATTTTAGCTGCTGATTCTGCAGATGAAGCCCAATTTTTGTGGACACATTGCATGCAGACCTGTGATGACATCACAAAGTAATGCATCTAGTGATGTCATCAGTCACAGGTTCCATGTCAATATCTACAAAAAATGAACTTTATCTGGAGGAACAACTTATCTTTTGCTTTTGATTTTACTTAGTCAAAAAGATATATCATGGTAATTTTAACAGTTTGTGAGTAAAGTACAAAATGCCCGTAAGTAAGATCCTTTTTAGCTCGTTCCTTGGCCCCTTTTAATGTGCTTAAGAAAATTAACATTCTACTTTAAAAAAAAACCCAATATGAATTCCATTAAATAGACTTTTTAGACCATGGCTTTTGTGGCTTTTTGTAGCTGCGTGATGGGAGTATAATTTAGTCTGCTTTATGCATCCCCTGTTAAGAAAATGGGTGGTATCTAATTACTTACAGGGGTCATTTTAAAAAAGTTTTTTTTCCCTATGATGGAATTTGGCCTTACACTTGCTTCGTTTTCAAAAAACTGTGGAGAGGCCAAATTAAGTTTAGAAAACATTCTTTGAATAAAATTGAATGAGTATTAATCACATGAGCAATCATTTTTCTGAAGTGTAATCTTTCCCTGTTTGTTGTCCAAAAAATGGTACAATGTGTAGTATTTTCTGGACTTACAGTGCCTTGCAAAAGTATTCACCCCCCTTGGACCTTTTCACATTGTTTTGTGTTACAGCATGTAGCCATGATGTATTTAACTGAGAATGTTTGCCACTCATCAACACAAAGTTCTCTCTACTGTCAAAGTGAAAAAAATCCAGACATTTTACTAAATTAATTGAAATTAAAAAACAGAAAATAAGTGAATGCATAAGTATGGCATAAGTGGAATGACTTAAAAAGTTGCTGTTCACAAATGGTCCCCATCCAACTTGAAGCTTGAGCAATTTTACCAAGAAGAATAGGCAAAAATTCCAGTGTCAAGATGTGCCACGCCGATACTTACCCAAAGAGACTCACAGCTGTAATTGCTGCCAAAGGTGGTCCTACCAAGTATTAACCCTGGGGGGGGGGGGGGGTGAACATTTACCCATTCAATTATTTTCTGTTGTTTATTTTTAATTAATTTAGTAAAATGTCTGGATTTTGTTTTCACTTTGACATTACAGAGTACTTTGTATTGATGAGTGGCAAAAATTCTCAGTTAAATACATCATGGTTACATGCTGTAACACAATAAAATGTGAAAAAGTCCAAGGGGGGTGAATACTTTTGCAAGGCACTGTACATTATTCATGACAAATATAACTTTGATCTCTGCCATGCTTCTATGATTACATTTTGACATTTTTATTATATCTTCCAAAGTGACACATTATTCAGTCTGAAAATCTTTTTCTTATGTGTTGTTTTTTGTTTCTATTTCACTGGGGTATGAATACATTCAGAAGACATTGGAGCTGGTTTCCACAGTGTTTTGAACAGATAAATAGGACTGTCAGAAAGAATGCATGTGTAATATAGCATTCATATAACTCACAAAGAAATAAGAGCTCTAAAGCTTCAACGGTTTTCTGAAATAAAATAACAACTCAGGGATTAACATTTCCTTCTAATGCATTTCAAACGAAGAGTAATTTGGGTTTAATGCATTTGGAAATATATGGACTGCTCATTTATGAATTTTTACAAACTGGAAGCGACAACATCCTGAATGTTGCACACTCACGTTGAATCCTCTTAGGTTTGAATATGCATTTGATTTAAAAATATTTACAGAAGTACCTCGTAGCTTTCTGTTTTGCTTAGAATGTTACTATTTTTAGTACTCTTTTAATGTTAATCTTAATTATCACTGCTGGTTTTTTTGTCTTTATTTTATTGTAGCTACAGTCCATAATTACAAGACAAATCAGTTAGAGATTAGTATTCTAATGTGATATAATTTTATTTTGTTCCATAAACATACAGTATTTAATACTTTTGGACTGGTGGTCAAAATTATGGGGTCTCGTTTATACTCTGGGATCTTATTTGTTCATAAATAAGGACAATAACAAAGCCTACAGTATGGTTTTCAGTGATAAAATGGGTGTGCATTTTTTAATGAAAATTATTTGAGTAAAATGATGGTAAATTCTACCCTCAGCATCATGCTTTTTTAAATGAGTCAATAAATGTCTTCTATTTCAGTTGTGTTTCATTAGGACCATTCGCAGGACTACACATATACTGTATGTATATGCATGTACAGTATTGATGAAAGCTGAAGACCCGTTTTATTATTTCTTTCTTCTCGCCAGGGGGAGCTACAACACCACAGAGCACTAGAAAGCATTATCAAGAAAGGCCATAGAAATCTCCTCCCAAGGCGACTTAACATCAATGACTCCAGAATGGAGCCCATATACAGTAAATACAACTGCAAAAGAACAAGAAATAAGACATACTGTATAATGCATTATTTGAAGTTACAAAGCCCTATAAACACATTTAAGTAAAACTGTTTACTGCAAAATAATTTCCAGCTTCAGAAATGCAACTTGAATAAAACGAACTAGTCCCATAATATCAGAGTAAATATTTTGAGGAGCCGTAGAATATGAAGTTGTAATCACATGGAAATATAAGTGTGTTATTTTTCAAAATGAGAAAAGTGCTATTTGAGGGATCATATACTGCATGAAGTATTTTTTATGAAACAATTCAACAGTTGAAACACACTTAAATTTTAGTAAAATTAAAAAGGTAATTACACCCTTTTTATCTGTTTCAAATTTGATCCTTTCCTTCTATACATACAGACTGTTATCTTTTTGAACTTTGATAGGCTCCAGATTTGGCTTTAAATAGACATTTCAATAAACATTCTATGAAAAATAGATAATCTTCTTCTCCAGTTTACAGTAGTTGTGTTTTCAATTTGTTAGAGGAATTTGTGCATTGCAAAAAATATTTTAAAATTCTACATAATAATTTAAACCCTGAATAATTAATATTCCCTTGCTTTAGTAACTACTTACAACTTTCATCATTTAGATTATAATTAAGCATTCGCTGCAAGCTGTGTTATGTATTACAGAATGTGTGTGTTTAGAAAATAAAGTTTACTCTCCTACAGGATTTGTTTTCTTGGGTGTAACATTCTAGCACTTCAGATTAATGGTAATATAGAGTATAATATTTTGATATACAGCTCTTCAAGCAACAAAAATATATTACTCTTGCATTGTGGCCTTTTCAAAACCAATCCCATCTCTAAAGAGCAACTCTTATCTGTCAATGATCTGTCAGAGGTGAGCCATCTATCCATGATCATTCAGTAACGTGCAACCTTTTCTGGAGTGAGTGTGAACAAATATAAATGTGTAAATTCAAAGTAACCTCTGCTACACTATCAGCATCTTTTAACTCCTACTGTTACATGCAAAACAACAGGTGTTGCCAGAGTAAACAATGTAGCATTGATCAAAGCATAGAATTGTTTTAACTAGTTCTTCACATTATCGTGCTTACGTTGAAAATGTAGCAAATGGCTTCAATGCATATGGGCCTTTCTATTGTAGCAGTATTCATGTCAAAGGAAAAATAATGCAATCCACAAATACTGCAAATGTGACAACTTAATTTGTACCCATCTACAGTATATACTCTACTGTAACTGATTATTTTTTGTCCATGAATCTGAGAAAAGCACCATGGTTAAGTACAACAAGAGGCTGCTTGAAACTGCAATGTTGTGGACTGAAATGCTGAATTGCACCAGTAAAGTTTTCAGCTATTTAAATGGCACAAACATAATTCCCATCAATAATAATAATAATAATAATAATAATAATAATAATAATAATAATAATAATAATATAGCATGGATAAATTTGCTTAATTGTTTAACTCAACTGGTTGAGAGTATCACATCCTAGCTGTGGGGGCGAGACTTGTCAGGTCCCTCAAAAGAAGCATGTGGGAAGCAATGGTCTTGACAGAACTATTATTAAGTTATTATCTATCAACAAGGATAGAAGAATGAACGAAAAGTGAGATATGAAAGACCCAATGGAAAAAATGATTGACAGTTAAATACTTTAAATTAAAAAATTATGCCAAGTTGACCACAGTTCAGGGGACGTTGGTCTGAAGATTATCCGTTTGGAGTGATCAAGTGATAACTAGGCTACACCTTCTGAATGAGAAAGGGCAAGCATCACTTCTGGAGCTTGCCTCCACAGAGAGCCACACAAAGGTGATACAAATCCCCCCAAATTTGTTGAGGAATCCTTTAGGGAAATTTAAGACATTAGAGGAAAATCGAGGATGATGTGGAGACTTGAACTGAGCGGCGGTGCCACTAAAGGGAAGCATGTATCTGGAGAGATAGATTGGTAGATCTGAGCCGCAAAAGGACTGTCAGTGTTAAGGGAGGAACAATTTCGGGGAGCAAATCAAGAGATAACAACACAATCTATAGACAAAAATATTTGGGACAAAAAAGGGAAATGTCTAGATAATGAAGGGGACATTGCTGATGTACTAAATGAAAGCAGTCAAAAACCCAGGCAGCGTAAGGACAAAGTTTTCTATTAAATAGTATCATTACAGAAGAGGCAGAAGTGTTTCAGATACATTCTAGACTAATACTGTACATCCCCTTGGCCATTGGTACGAATTGTAACACAAGATGTCATTTATAAGCCATTGACACAACTCTTTCAAAAGTGGCTCAAGATGGGGTGGTCTGGAAAATTGCAAAGTTAATGCCTATCCATAAAAAGGATGGTGAGTTCTTTCAGTTATGTAATGTAATTAGTGGAGTTCCACAGGAAACTGTCCTAGGTCCACTGCTCTTCCTAATTTATCTAAATTCTGGTGTAGCTAGTAAACTATTTATGTTTGCCGATGCAAACACTGCAGAAACAACATATGGCATTCAATAGGGTTTAGATACAATTCAAGACTGGCAAACATTTGGAAGATGGCATTTAATATAGACAAGTACAGGATTTTGCATTCAGGAAGTACAAAATACAAACTATGAATACAAAATTGGAAATGGAGCTAGAAGCAGCTACTAATGAAAAGAAAAACTGACAAACTGACAAATCATTTACATTTTCTAGACAATGTGGGGGAAGCAGTAAAAAACGCAAACAAAATGTTAGGATTATAGCAGGGTTGCAAGAGTGGTGAGAGCAGTTATACACCCAGAATATTGTAGATGGTCTCATCAAAGTTTTTTCAAGAGAAATGGGATTATTTGAGAGATTGGGAAAATATGTGCTAGCGAATTACAAGTACATAAGTGTGCTGAGTGCATAAGTGTGCTGAGCAATGCAATTGCAGGTGCGGACAACATAGCATTCTGCTGCAATTGATGCTTAAGAGCCTTAAATTGGGACCTTTGTCACTGTGTGCATCTGTTCTAATGCCCTCTTTACTACCTGAAGTCCTAAATTATTAGTGTGACCACGTTGGCATCAAAAATGGACAGTATGTTGATCCAGACCACCTTAAGTACCTACTGTATACATGGCCACAAAGGAAGGGTGAGAAAGAATAATTTACTGAGCATAAAGTAAGCAAAGATGCAGAAGAGAAAGCAGATTGGACTCATCTGGGGAGAAAGTGCATCAGCAGAGCTGCCAAATGTAGCAACTTTGTATAGGAACCATGCTTCCCCTTGAGGGAATGAAAGGACTCTGGCAATGACCCACGCCCAAATCACAGAACACATTTCTGGGTGCTCTGAAGAACAGCACTGAGCAACAGAAAACTTCCATTCGGAAGTCACCTGTAAATTAAAAAAAAAGATGGCAAGTTACTGCAAGGTGTTGGACCAGGCCCAGGGATGGGCTGATATTTATGAGAATTCATCCATCTCTGTGTGAGAAGCTGAGCCTTGAAGCTTACAAAAGAGAATTGACTCCAGGCATCTTACATCACCATATGGCTCTCACTGAGCCACGCAGTCTTGTGGGGCTGTAAGAATGTAGCAGGAGTAAACAGAAGCAATGTAAAATGCTTGTAAAATGGAAAAAAATAAATCTTTAGTGTGGAGATTCAGAGTGGCTTTGGAAGTAGAGAGTGAGTTTGCACCTCTGATCCAGAAAAGCATGCATGTGCCTGCAGCTCCAGAGGTGGGAGTGAAGCATCTGAAGCATTAATGCTGCAAATGGAGAAGAGAGCAATTGGGAAATGCGGATTGGGGGGATCATAAAAAGGGTAAGTCAATGTGAATCACCTATCCCCATGGTACTTCCGTATTACAGAACATGTTGGCTCATCAGCAAGGTTAACTACTTGCATTACACATCCTATACGTCATTGGGGAAAGCTCCACAATCTCATTTGTCAGACCAGAAAGCTTGCTAAGTTGTCTATGAAATGGTAAATCAATGTGGAGGAAACCAATTTGAAGCTCTGCTTGTGCTGGCAGCCAACAGCTGAAGGTGCAAGTGAGATTGAAAACAGTAGCACATGTGTTTTCACTGGCCCATAAGTATGATCTGTTTATTGTCAATCTTCACTTTCTCTTCCAGATGGGTCTACTGATTGAGTTGATAACAGAGAAGGTGCTTTTAGTGAAATAAAGGCCATTAGTGCAGAGAAGACACATAGACCAGTTCTCCACTGGTACAGAGGCTCCCACTGACCACATAGCACAGTGTTAGTGTGACCACTAGGGTGGTGTGAAAACAGTGGCAAGTGGAAGTGGAGACCTTCACCTAGAAAGAAAGGGACAACCCTTGTAAATGTTACTTTAGGAACACAGAATTCTACCCCACCAGATTCATGGGTGTCAGAAACAGGTGTCTAAACAGGTTTGGATGCTATGTGGAAAATTCATGTGTACCACCTTATCATTAATTATTCCTGTATCTATGGAAGGATATATGTATGAAAGAATCTGTGGACCTATGTATTTAAACACCCTAGAGAGGTGTGGAAAATCTCTTGGAATCATTCTGTACAAAAAAATAATAATTTCATCAATGACATCCTCCACAGCAGAAGATAACCTGCGGCGTTTTTATAATACTGTTTAAATTGTGTTCCAACTTTCTTTTTCAATTTGGCAAAATTTAATTTAGAAAAAAATAAGAAGATACATAGAGTGACTCATGCTTTCATGATTGCCAAGTCACAAAGTTAAATCTAATTCATTGAGATACTTCAGGAACAAGTGTGTTGGTTTCTTAGATTTTCTGAGTTTTTTAGATTAAATTAGCAAATAGATTGACAGTGAGCTAAGATAGGTTAGGAGGGCATGTTTCTGTTTTTGACAGATCAGATAAATGTCTCTAAAACACTACATTTTCCCTATAGGTAAGCTCTTAGCTATGTCTCAAATGTTTTCACTTCAGCACTATAACAATTACAATGTGTTAAGACAACCATGAGTAAAATAACTATAACTTAAGTATAGCTGCATGAAGCTATATGAGATAGCTTAAAAACCGGTACACCACTGATGATGTATCCTCTTTCCCTGTTGATTTCTGGGCATTTTTTAGTTCTTATAAGCTACAAATATTTCCATAGTTATATTTGGTGAGACATGCAAATAAGTGACAAGAAAGTACATGAAGTCATTCTTAAAGTTAGCCTTAAAATTGTTTATTGATCTATTTAATAATAATAAAACATTAACTGTGTCATTGCTTTGAACTGTATTTGTCTCTTAAAGAAATGGCTTTAATTCCTTCCAGAGGTTCAATAACCTGAAAAGGAAAGCAAATCTTTATTCTAAGCTTCCATGTATTTAAACAAGGAGTTTAAACAAGTTATTAAATTGCAAACTGTATTTGTTCTCTAATGAAATCCCTAATTTTAAATTACTAAATTATTCTATACTGTAGCTCAGATTTTACATTGTATTTCAGTTTACAGCTGCAGAGGGTTTTTCAGCAATTTATTTTTATCTTTAATGACAAAATGTCATTAGACATGATTGAAAATATTTTTTTCTTCAACCATTATATATTTATAAAAAGGTTAAACACACATAGACTGAAGTTAATAGGTGCTTCATTTTCACAGAAAGAAATTATGAGAGAGAAGGTGTATGTCACCTTAACAGCAAAAACAAAAGGTTGAAAAAGGCAACAAATCACCATTACTTATTTGAAACCACACACAGTACAAACTCTATATGTGCTACTCACTTCAATTCTTCCCTCATTTATGCTATAATAAGAGAAGACTGTGAAAGTTATAAAAGACAGACCCACCAAACCAGCTTGAATTGAAAGTGTTAGTTAGTTAGGGTGTAACACATGAGATGGATTGTGGTGTATCAGAGTAAAGAGAGAAAGTGGGACGAGTCACTATTATTAATGGGGATCGCTACCTGGGGACATGATTAGGCGTGACACCAGGGCTGGTTGGGTTCTCTGGAAATTCCTGGAATAGACATGATGAAAAGAAGGATGAAGTGACTGAAATAAAATAATACAATGCAGAGATTAATTAAATAACAAGTGCTTTAAAACAAATCATCGTGGCTATTGGTTATAATGAATGTACAGTACTCCAGGACATGGATTGATAGGGACTAGAAATGTAGAAAGTCAACCAACTGGACTTGTTGCTGGTTTACGCTTATTTTGAACTGAGGGTTGTAAAGCAATCCATACAAATAATGGTGCTGGCATATTTGTGAATTTAAAGAAATTCACAAAAGTGAGTCAAAAGCTATTACATTAAACTTTTCCTATTTTTTAACACAACAGACTTTTGGCAAAATTTTAGTTAAATCATTTGCCAGTGGTTGTTGATCAAAACCAAAAGAACTGAGAGAATGTGTCGCTCTTTGCAAATGATATTTTCTGAATGCTGAAGTCCTTCTCTTACAAAGGAAAGCTTTTGCAGGAATGCATACATTTTCCATGATTCACTTTCCTTGATTCAAGTACTTGAACACCCAATACTGTACATCAAATAGTTGTATTCCTATATGAGGATATAATGTATTTATTACCCTTTTAGAAGAACTTGGAAAGGAATATTCTCATGTTCTGCATTTTCTTTTGTCTTTTTGTACTGTTGGACCAGAGGTTTGAAGTTTTCAATTTAATATAATTCTAAACATTTTGACCGAAGTGATAAATGCACAAATTATTTTACACTAGGAAACCCACAGAAACCCCAAAGAAAGCTAGTCAGATCTGAGACGTTGTCATTGGTGTCCGATGGTAATAAAACAAGGCAGAGAAATTGTCATTCTAAAGAAATGGAAATACACCTATCTATTAATATACCACATGGTACTGTATCAGTTCATGTTTATATTGAGCTCAAATCATTGGTCCTTTGAAAGATCAGCACAAAATGTGTCAAATATCCTATGTTTTCAAAGAGATGATCTGAGTAGGTCATGGCTCTGATGCTCCTATTCTGTTGCTTTAAATTAAAATGTATTAAATTTAATAATCAAAATGAAATATTCCACAGTAAGCAGATCATAAAGCAGAATATACAGTATATTGAACTAGGAATGGCTACATTCTTAGTTCAATGCATACTGTCGGTGGCGCTCAGCGGATTCTGTGCTGATGTTTGGGTAATCGAAGTTATGGTCGGCTAGCGGCATACCTTAGATCTCAACTTTTCAAGTGGAACTGATCAAGAGACATCCAGAAATGTTTTTGACACTAACATTTCAAAATACACCCAAGACTTTTATTGATACATTTCACCATGAAAAGAATAGAGTATATAATCACTTCTATTAAATATGCATCAGAAATGATAACCATACAAATGTAACAGTTATAGTTATTAGTTATAGGATATTTGCTTAAAAACATTTCCCAAAATATATTGACCTTTGATGAATTTAAGTAAGCATGCTAATTGATAATTTTAACAACTTGATCTAATGTATTGCATTTTATTAAATGGATAAACAATTATTCCACAGTGGTTCGGTGTGGTGAATATTTGGTCTCTCTATATTTTAACATTTTTAAGTAATTTAAAGTAAACTGTCCTTTTATAATCATGTCCTGGAGTACAGTAATGGATGTTATTGTAATGCTGTTAGCAATAGGAAAAGTAGTAGGCTGGCCCTGGTGTATTAGGTGCAAATATTATTAGTCAAGCTCCAAAAAACAGTGAAAGGAATTAATTCTTAAACTTTAAAAATAAAATGTAATTACAGCAAGCCACAGATTGATTAATACATTATACTAAATGGCTATTTGACTCGATTAGTAAGTTGAGAAGGGTATGGATTCATGGATATGTGTCAAAGTGAGTTCATGACATTATACAGTACTGTAGCTGTAACATACAGTATAAGACATAGGTGCAATACACACCTATTTTTTCTGTTATTGTAGTTTCTTTTATTGTAAAATATGAACACCACTTCGATCATGAATTACTAAACCAATGAATAAAGAATGCATTATTACTGCAGTCGGTTTCCCATAGCTCAGTAAGATTAATTCAAAATCTCCTTTTACAAAAAATGTAATTTAGAAGTCTTTGAAATCTTGATGAACGTCTCAGTAAAAATAAAATGTGAACGCTAAAAACTGATGTATGACTTTTGTGAAATTAAAAATGTATTTTTTTCAAAAATAAAACAAAAAAAAAAAGAAAAAAAATAAGAAAAAAAAAAATCAAAAAATAAAAAAAAAGTTGTAAAGCAGTAATTCATTAAAAAATGAATGTGGAAAATTGACTAATTTTAATTAATCTAAAACTACAAAAAGGTTGAGCACCTGCACAAATACGACATACTGTACATTTGAATGTGATCCTATATAAAAGCTTTATAAATGATGATCATTCACACAGTGCGCCACAGTGCACTGTCTGTGTTATATTCATTGCAATGATTCCTGTCTAAGGAGGGATTTTCTTCATATTGAAGTCTCCCAGTGACTCCTGGGAGTCTCCTTTGTTCACCCTACCTTTTCTACGGTATGGAATACATATTAAGTGAAAGCGGTTTAAGAACACGAATCATTCGGAAATGATATTTTAATACAATGAAAAACAAATGACTAACCAATGAGAGCACCTACTAAAATCCAGCAATATGGAAAAAAAAATTAAGCTCCAACAATAAACAGACAAAAGCTGACTGCAGGCAAGTGAACAAGGTTAGGGGAATGATAGTTCAATAACAGTACTTGGAACCATATACTGTACCTCTTTACGTATAATATAATTCAAACATATCCATGCTAATACAAAGTACCTGGTATATATAGTATGTTGTTCATGTCACAGTTTAAACACCCTTTGATAATGAGATAATAAGAAAAGCTTATGTTTGTAATGACATCTGAAAAAAAAAAACTGCTCCTTTGGTGGTGACTGTCTTCCTATCCATTGCATTTAATTTTTGCACTTAAATAACATTAAGTAATGGGTTTATTTGACAACAGTAGTATAGAAACAATGTGAAGTAAATACAACCACTTTTCAACAAGGATTTTGATTTTTTTAATCAACTGCTGAGTTTTAGTATTAGAATTCTGGCTTCTACCTAATGTGTCCTATATACAGTACACCTTCAGTGAATAAATATAATATTCAAGTCACCTGTTCTTAAGTTGTTTACAGCTTTAAAAATTAAAGCCATAATAAATCTATGAATAAGTTATATAATTTTGGAATTCCAAAAAAGGGGAAAGTAATTAATCTAAATCTCTCTTAAAAGCCATGTCTTAGAGGACCAATCATCAACCCATCTTATAATTGCCATTGTCCAGCAGCAAGAGATAGGTAGCTACAGTATATAAGATTCCCCTTACCTTTAGGTCATCTGTCCAATTTATACTGAAGCAATTACTCAGTCATGTATCACACAGTATCACATTCCACATGCAATACCCAAGCATGTCTCTTTTTTTTCTTTTGTTCTATCTAGATCAATGCAACAATTTCATAAAAAAGACATATGCCATGCAAAACAATCACTTCAATTCTCATTCTTTTGTTTAGATTGCTGCTGAGTCACATCTATTTCTTATGCTTTAATTGTCTGAAGGGCATAATAACAATCAGTGCAAATACTGACAAGTTGCACTGCATGGATACTAGGTGGCACTCTAAATCATTCTAATTGGTTGTTTTCAAAGCAAAGCCACCTACAGGCAGTTGATGTTTTGTTACTATTCCATTATTGGAGATACTTATATTACTTGAGATAACTACTGTGCCTACAGTATACATCAATGGATGAGATATTCCCTGCTAAATTAAAACCACTGATGGAATTCATTTAACAGCATAAAACTGCCACAATGTACAGGAACAGTATATACATTAGGTATCTTATGTAGTCTGGTGTCATATTAATGTTGTTTGTGATCTGAGTGTCTGTCTAAACACCTGTTACCACATCAGTATCTGAATCAAGCTTTTAAGACTGAAGTAATTGAACATGCAACATACAGGCCATTCAATCACAAGAACATCTGAAACACAATCCTTCTTCAGGACTAAGCAAATAAAATATGTCAAGGAATATTTTATTGTGAAATAAAAATTAAAGCGCTGTTTTTGAGAACATCAGAAGTCTCTCGTTTTTTTTAATGAACTATGAAAATATTAATAGTTCTGCAAGGCATTCAGCTAACCAGGAATCCCAGGATATAACATGATTTTGCTCAAACATGGAGGAGATGGCTGCAGATTTGCAAATGCGATCTTGAGCTATGTTACCATCATATTATAGCACATGCAATACAGTATGTCAGCTTCTGTTCCATTTCAGATAACTTTCACTTCAATGGTGGCTTCTATGTCTATATACATTTTCAAACTAATTCAGTGTTAATTATTTAATATAATGTGTGCTAGAGATGGAAGACTATATTTTATCTAGGCTGTTTTACAGGACATTAGTCATTCGCATCATTTAGTTAATTACAGAGACACACATTCTGGATGTGTCCACAAACATCCAAACCTGCAGTCATAGTGACTGGAAAGCTATTGTCTGAAATTCCTCCAATTAGCCTCTTCAGATCAGAAAATCCTTTTTTTCCCATATTTAAAGAAGGGGCCTTATTTTTCAAAGATAAAATTGCTTCAAGTGACTGTCCTGAAAAAGCCTTAGGTTTCTTTCAGCTGATTATGTCACATCTCAAACAAGCATTGAAAATGGCTTGGGGAGGTTAGTTACCAGATTGTCGCTCTGGCACCTTCGTGGTCTTTTCTTGCGTTTGACATATCCCAAGACTTTATCTTTAAATACCTACAAAATACATAAAATATATAATATAAATAGTGCATTATACATATAATACATATTATATAGTGCATATATAATAAAAATTGAATAAAACCACTTACATAAAAAGTATTATTACATTAACAGTACAGCAAATGTTAAACAAGAGCATTAAAAAAAGAAAAGTGAAGATTAGAAAGACAATGCAGAATATTATGGTTTATAACTAAGATGTATGTTACTGTACCTGAATGGGTGAGGATTTTGTTGTACTGTGATCAGCTCAGATATATTGCATTAAATTTTAAAGCAGCTGATTAAATTCTCTCTCATGCACATACTTCAGATATTATTGAATTTCAAAATTATTTAATATTTTCATCATACTGTAGTTACTTGTTAAACATCCAACCTATGCCATTACCTGCCATTATCATACCTAATTATTTTATGTGCAGAAGAGATTTTACATTGCTTGTGAATTTCCTACTAAAGAAAGATTACATGGAGGACTAGATTATACACCTTTTTTCAAATAGTCTGATAAGAATAGTGCTCTCATATTAACAATTAGTTTTAACTATCCTTTTCAAAAGGATGATAACACAATAATTTAATGTGCAATGGAACAGTTGAAGGTGTAATAGGAATGATAAAAAATATAAATAATTATTGATTGTGAAAAAACTGATAAAGTACTGTACTTTAATTTTAATGGTATAACTGATTGTGTTGAGCCATGGAAGTTTCCTAGACAAATACATTATTTACTATTTTTAATAGTATAATTCTGATCGCATGTTCTAATGAATATTATAATATATTATAATATACTGTAGTAAACTAAGGACATTTTGACTTTTGTCTTTAAATAGGAGGAGGGCCATATTGTTTTGACACTGATGTAGCTCGTAAAAGCTTTAGGAATTGTCTGTTGCAAAATTCAAATGTTATGAAAAATTCTTAAGAATAGAATGGGAAAAAAATTGGAAATGAAGTTTCTCCTTGCTTAAATTGTGAGTGAAGTGCGAGGGATGAAAACATTATTGATGCCTTTTACTGAACACAAACTTCAATATGAAGCATTTTAGTTGTTTAGTAAAAGATAAATACTGTATATCTGTGAAAGCTCCACATACAATTGTAGGGACATTATTAACCAACTTAAATACATTGATTTGATAGTAAGGTATGTACAGTAGTAAGAAATCTTTTGGAAAATAATAAATGAAAAAACAACACATTTAAGTCCAGAAAATGATAGCCCTTCTCTTTTTCAACTATTCACATTAGCTGGTATTAAAGATCTAAACGAAATGTCACCTAAATGAAATCTAAAACTATTTGAATGTGAAATTTGTTAAAAACAAGAGGAGGCCATTTGGTCCATCAAACTCAATTAGTATTTCATTACTGAATGTATTCAGTATTCAATATTTAATATTGTGCTCGAACATGAAGAGATGAAGATCATGCATTTCTTACCTCATAAAGATAATCAAATATTTCTAATATTGTTAAAACACTGGCACCAATGAAGAGACCCATCTGACCCCCAATGTCACCTGAGGAAGAAAAAAAATAACTGATTCAACAAGTCATGTTAC